AAAAGAAATCCTGAGTAGGCTTAATATTATTTTTAGAAATTCCTTTTTAAAAATAGAAAATCTGACCCTGCCATTGTATGTGGCACAATCCCAAACATTTTGGGTCATTTCCTCTCCCACTGTGGTTCTCATCCTTCCCCAAAATCTGGAAGCCCCAGTTAAAGTTACCCATCCCTGATCCATTCTCTTTAGCACAGGACTCCTTTCTTTATCCAAAGCATTCATGAAGGCAGGAAGTGCAAATTTGCTTGGGAAATGAGTTAAATTCTTTCCCATTCCTCCTCTGCTATTTTCATTCAAAAATTATCCTGCAGACATCATTTCATTGGCTCAAGCCCCACAGCTGACTTTTTGTGAAGAAAAAAACATGTTCCATGTCGAGCACAGTAATTGAAACATTCTGCCAAAATACTTTGAACTTTATAAGTTTTACTCCATTTCCTTCTGCTGAGTTTGCCTCATAAAGGCAAAGAGATTTGGACTTTAGTGACAGTTTTGAGTTAGAATGGGAATCCTGCATCTTGGGGTCCCAATGGGGACATCAGTCTTATTTTATATGACACTAATTTCATGAGACTCACAAGAACAGGGTAGCTTAAACAGAGATGCAGAGGAGAGACTAGAGATGCATAAAGTGCTAAACAACCCAGTAGTGCTGCAAACTTGACAGACTCTAACTCCCTCTACCAGTACCTACATCCACGACTGACTTTTGCAGTAAGTCTAGAATGATATCCTCTCAGCAATCCATCTGGCTCCCACCCTAATGATGTTCTGGAAATCTTTAAAAAGTTGGCTGTTCTCCCAGCCTTGGGGTAGAATGTGTCAGCCCTTACAGGTAGGTAGTCAAGGCATTAAGGCCAAACCATGAGTACCACCACACTACTTTATTGGAAGGCTACAGCAACAAAACCTTGCAAGTGTGCAAGCACTTCTCCCTTCCCTTTTATTTTCCAGAAAACTAGGGAAGGTCCCTTCTGAGATGCTTTCTCCACCCCCATTCCTTCTGTGGGCTGAGATAACTTTTGCATGATGGTTGTCTAGGCGGTGGCTCTTCCTTCTGTCTCCCAAGGTTATTCTTACAGTCCATTACAGAAGGTGGAATCTCAGTTGGTTTTGTTTTCTGTTGTAGGTGATGTGTTTGTCTGGATGCATGAGATTTTTAAAATTGTTTTCTGTTTTTAGTAAAACTTACCCAAAGTTTTTCTGGAATCGGGCAGCCTCTAAATTTCGTAAATAAATAAAAATAAAGTCAGTGGTCTACCACAGAAAAAGGGTTTCCTGCCTCAGTTTTGGACCTACTGCCTACAACGCCTTTAACTGGACCTCCTTTATCCATTTTGGCCAGAACTGAATCATTTACACTCCAACTGTTCTTTACACAAGACCAAGTTAAACTATGGAATGTGCTGCCATCAGCTCTCGTGATGGCTTTAAAGGGGAACAAGACATAGCCATAGATTGTGTATCAATTCATGGAGGATCAGGCTATCACGTTTGGTTTGTGTGCTTCCCAGATGTGTCTAGTTGGCCATTGTGTGGCATATATTAACAATATGGTCACTTGGCCTGATCCAGCAGAACTCTCCTTATACAGTGGTACCTCTAGTTACGAACGCCCCTCCTTACGAATTTTTCGAGATACGACCAGCTCCGGCCCAAAAAATTTACCTCGACAGGTGAACTCCGCCTCGAGATACGAACCGGATCCGCGGCCATTTGCCCT